GAGAACCCCTTCGTAAAATTCTTACCACTTGACGCCTCCTCTCAACTTAATGATAACCCTAGCCACGCGCCCACGCTTTTAAACTAACTTGGACCCTCTGAAAGCATAACCTAAGCTTCAACTTAATGATAACCCTAACCTCGTAAAATTCTTACCACTTGACGCCTAAAATACTCTCAAACTATCTTGAACCTTATCCAAATTCCTTACCCTAATCACAAACCGGCAGAAACCGGTTTTACTCTCAACTTAATGAGAACCCCTTCGTAAAATTCTTACCACTTGACGCCTCCTCTCAACTTAATGATAACCCTAGCCACGCGCCCACGCTTTTAAACTAACTTGGACCCTCTGAAAGCATAACCTAAGCTTCAACTTAATGATAACCCTAACCTCGTAAAATTCTTACCACTTGACGCCTAAAATACTCTCAAACTATCTTGAACCTTATCCAAATTCCTTACCCTAATCACAAACCGGCAGAAACCGGTTTTACTCTCAACTTAATGAGAACCCCCTTCGTAAAATTCTTACCACTTGACGCCTCCTCTCAACTTAATGATAACCCTAGCCACGCGCCCACGCTTTTAAACTAACTTGGACCCTCTGAAAGCATAACCTAAGCTTCAACTTAATGATAACCCTAACCTCGTAAAATTCTTACCACTTGACGCCTAAAATACTCTCAAACTATCTTGAACCTTATCCAAATTCCTTACCCTAATCACAAACCGGCAGAAACCGGTTTTACTCTCAACTTAATGAGAACCCCTTCGTAAAATTCTTACCACTTGACGCCTCCTCTCAACTTAATGATAACCCTAGCCACGCGCCCACGCTTTTAAACTAACTTGGACCCTCTGAAAGCATAACCTAAGCTTCAACTTAATGATAACCCTAACCTCGTAAAATTCTTACCACTTGACGCCTAAAATACTCTCAAACTATCTTGAACCTTATCCAAATTCCTTACCCTAATCACAAACCGGCAGAAACCGGTTTTACTCTCAACTTAATGAGAACCCCCTTCGTAAAATTCTTACCACTTGACGCCTCCTCTCAACTTAATGATAACCCTAGCCACGCGCCCACGCTTTTAAACTAACTTGGACCCTCTGAAAGCATAACCTAAGCTTCAACTTAATGATAACCCTAACCTCGTAAAATTCTTACCACTTGACGCCTAAAATACTCTCAAACTATCTTGAACCTTATCCAAATTCCTTACCCTAATCACAAACCGGCAGAAACCGGTTTTACTCTCAACTTAATGAGAACCCCTTCGTAAAATTCTTACCACTTGACGCCTCCTCTCAACTTAATGATAACCCTAGCCACGCGCCCACGCTTTTAAACTAACTTGGACCCTCTGAAAGCATAACCTAAGCTTCAACTTAATGATAACCCTAACCTCGTAAAATTCTTACCACTTGACGCCTAAAATACTCTCAAACTATCTTGAACCTTATCCAAATTCCTTACCCTAATCACAAACCGGCAGAAACCGGTTTTACTCTCAACTTAATGAGAACCCCCTTCGTAAAATTCTTACCACTTGACGCCTCCTCTCAACTTAATGATAACCCTAGCCACGCGCCCACGCTTTTAAACTAACTTGGACCCTCTGAAAGCATAACCTAAGCTTCAACTTAATGATAACCCTAACCTCGTAAAATTCTTACCACTTGACGCCTAAAATACTCTCAAACTATCTTGAACCTTATCCAAATTCCTTACCCTAATCACAAACCGGCAGAAACCGGTTTTACTCTCAACTTAATGAGAACCCCTTCGTAAAATTCTTACCACTTGACGCCTCCTCTCAACTTAATGATAACCCTAGCCACGCGCCCACGCTTTTAAACTAACTTGGACCCTCTGAAAGCATAACCTAAGCTTCAACTTAATGATAACCCTAACCTCGTAAAATTCTTACCACTTGACGCCTAAAATACTCTCAAACTATCTTGAACCTTATCCAAATTCCTTACCCTAATCACAAACCGGCAGAAACCGGTTTTACTCTCAACTTAATGAGAACCCCTTCGTAAAATTCTTACCACTTGACGCCTCCTCTCAACTTAATGATAACCCTAGCCACGCGCCCACGCTTTTAAACTAACTTGGACCCTCTGAAAGCATAACCTAAGCTTCAACTTAATGATAACCCTAACCTCGTAAAATTCTTACCACTTGACGCCTAAAATACTCTCAAACTATCTTGAACCTTATCCAAATTCCTTACCCTAATCACAAACCGGCAGAAACCGGTTTTACTCTCAACTTAATGAGAACCCCTTCGTAAAATTCTTACCACTTGACGCCTCCTCTCAACTTAATGATAACCCTAGCCACGCGCCCACGCTTTTAAACTAACTTGGACCCTCTGAAAGCATAACCTAAGCTTCAACTTAATGATAACCCTAACCTCGTAAAATTCTTACCACTTGACGCCTAAAATACTCTCAAACTATCTTGAACCTTATCCAAATTCCTTACCCTAATCACAAACCGGCAGAAACCGGTTTTACTCTCAACTTAATGAGAACCCCTTCGTAAAATTCTTACCACTTGACGCCTCCTCTCAACTTAATGATAACCCTAGCCACGCGCCCACGCTTTTAAACTAACTTGGACCCTCTGAAAGCATAACCTAAGCTTCAACTTAATGATAACCCTAACCTCGTAAAATTCTTACCACTTGACGCCTAAAATACTCTCAAACTATCTTGAACCTTATCCAAATTCCTTACCCTAATCACAAACCGGCAGAAACCGGTTTTACTCTCAACTTAATGAGAACCCCTTCGTAAAATTCTTACCACTTGACGCCTCCTCTCAACTTAATGATAACCCTAGCCACGCGCCCACGCTTTTAAACTAACTTGGACCCTCTGAAAGCATAACCTAAGCTTCAACTTAATGATAACCCTAACCTCGTAAAATTCTTACCACTTGACGCCTAAAATACTCTCAAACTATCTTGAACCTTATCCAAATTCCTTACCCTAATCACAAACCGGCAGAAACCGGTTTTACTCTCAACTTAATGAGAACCCCTTCGTAAAATTCTTACCACTTGACGCCTCCTCTCAACTTAATGATAACCCTAGCCACGCGCCCACGCTTTTAAACTAACTTGGACCCTCTGAAAGCATAACCTAAGCTTCAACTTAATGATAACCCTAACCTCGTAAAATTCTTACCACTTGACGCCTAAAATACTCTCAAACTATCTTGAACCTTATCCAAATTCCTTACCCTAATCACAAACCGGCAGAAACCGGTTTTACTCTCAACTTAATGAGAACCCCCTTCGTAAAATTCTTACCACTTGACGCCTCCTCTCAACTTAATGATAACCCTAGCCACGCGCCCACGCTTTTAAACTAACTTGGACCCTCTGAAAGCATAACCTAAGCTTCAACTTAATGATAACCCTAACCTCGTAAAATTCTTACCACTTGACGCCTAAAATACTCTCAAACTATCTTGAACCTTATCCAAATTCCTTACCCTAATCACAAACCGGCAGAAACCGGTTTTACTCTCAACTTAATGAGAACCCCTTCGTAAAATTCTTACCACTTGACGCCTCCTCTCAACTTAATGATAACCCTAGCCACGCGCCCACGCTTTTAAACTAACTTGGACCCTCTGAAAGCATAACCTAAGCTTCAACTTAATGATAACCCTAACCTCGTAAAATTCTTACCACTTGACGCCTAAAATACTCTCAAACTATCTTGAACCTTATCCAAATTCCTTACCCTAATCACAAACCGGCAGAAACCGGTTTTACTCTCAACTTAATGAGAACCCCTTCGTAAAATTCTTACCACTTGACGCCTCCTCTCAACTTAATGATAACCCTAGCCACGCGCCCACGCTTTTAAACTAACTTGGACGCCTAAACTTGACGCCTAAAATACTCTCAAACTATCTTGAACCTTATCCAAATTCCTTACCCTAATCACAAACCGGCAGAAACCGGTTTTACTCTCAACTTAATGAGAACCCCCTTCGTAAAATTCTTACCACTTGACGCCTCCTCTCAACTTAATGATAACCCTAGCCACGCGCCCACGCTTTTAAACTAACTTGGACCCTCTGAAAGCATAACCTAAGCTTCAACTTAATGATAACCCTAACCTCGTAAAATTCTTACCACTCTTCTTTAAATTGAGATCAATAAATTTTCAAATGATTTTCTTTCTTTCTTTCTTTCTTTCTATAATTTATTGGGCGAAAGTTTGAGGTAGCGAGACAACAGTAATAAGAACAAGATATTATTGAAGGAGTGCCAAAGCCGTGGACATATTATTTCCGTTGTTCTGGAAGAGCTCTGGGTTTAGCAAACGGGCCATCAAATAAGTGCGCAGTTTTCGTGGTTGTCAGAATCTTTCATGTACAAGTAGGGAATGATCGGATCTTGGGCGAGTGAGAGAGTACTTTGAAGGATGAAAATAAACTCCTCGAACAATAACGTCTTTGAAATAAGATGAAAGTATTTAAAGTACCTGGGCTGAATCCTTGATGAGGCTGCTGAACCTTGTAGTCATTTTCAACGGTCTGTTTGTAGTACTCGGGGTGAGCGTTTGAATCTTTTAAGGTGGAAATTTTCTGCTCTAAATTTGTGTTCGAAAGGAAAATGAACGACAATGACTATTTGGATGTCTTTGACAAATTAATGTTTCAAGAACTCACTCGAATGAAGTTCATGATGGCAGCGAATCGGGAAAAGTCAGTTGTATGTTCCGCATCTCCGGCTGGTTCCATGCTGCTCTGAAGACCGGCGTACATGAGCATTTCGTAAAGTCGTTTGTTTTTGCCGCTGCTGTTTTCAAGCAATTCAGTCATCGATTCTGCTGAAGCACTTTCTGTTGCTGTGACAAGGAGAGATGGCAGAATGGAAATAACCTGATATTAGAGTTAGAAAGACTTATCCCGCGCCTAATAATCCTAAACGTGTCGTCACCCGAGCTCATTTGCCGGGCACATTATGACGTGAGGGGGGAATAATCGACGATTCCAGAAACATAAATTGGCAAAGCGCGAGCATCTCCATTTGTTTCATATTTTGGTTCTTCTTCTGTTTCAATAACCTTTTCTTTGGTTCGCCCTCCTGATGCGTTTTTGCCATCGATCCATTTTATTATTTTGAGCCGGTCATCCCATTGAACTGAACTGCTTTCTTCCTCGTAAATAATTGGTAAAATCGTGCATTCCACAACATCGCCGTCAAGTTCGATCGTTTCCGATGATTGCAGAGCGACGAGAATGTCAATAGTCGACTTAGCCGGAATATGTCCAACAGAGGGCTCGAACGAAATCGCTAGATGCTCATCCCATTCAAATCGGACTGCAGCATTGAGATTATTCGATATCGTAAAGCTCTTTCGTTGCGTTTCGTTTATAGCGATTCCACCAAAATCAAGAGCAGCTTTGGAGTATTTTCCGACAAGATTAGTAGGCAATGACGGGAGATTTGTCAACATAACGTCAGGTTGAATACACTCACCGAAAAGCAGAGCTTCGCTGATTTCAAAGTCGTTGTTGATGATTTTCATGGTTAGCTCAGCTTCGAAGTTGCCAATATCAGCAGGACAGAAGAACACTTCAAGAATCTCCGTCTCTCCTTGATTTAGACAAACATCAGTTCTTTCATTGATGATTTCTTCTTTGTCCATTATTTTGAACGCGGGTGAGTCTGAAATTGCCAACCTCGCCCTTGCTGGGAGCCTATTAGTGTTTCGAAGCTGAATCTTTGTTGAAGTCATTTCTCCAATCATTGCATTTCGAAAATACAGTCGTCTCATACCATCGGTAGGGTTTGCGGCAGGATGGACAAGTTCTACTCTTGGCAAGTAAGCTTCAGCCTTCATCGTAAAAACCAACGGCTTAGCTTTTGGTGCGCCTTCGACAGCCGCTTCGAATAGGGCGCAGTATTCACCAATTGCTTTTGGCTTGACTGTTATTGTTACAAAAACACATTCATGCGGAGTTATTTGACCGCGTGGAGGGTCAAATTCGAAGCTGTCTGAAACCCGTTGTCTGTTTTTTGGAATAAGTGGTTTTACGGAAGCGACGAATTTGCATGGCAGTTTCGAAGGGTTGAGGATCTTGAAGCGAACGGAATTCGGAACGCCGACTGTCGAAAACGGAAAGTTGAACTGACTCTCCATCTGGCCGTAGATGCCACATTGCAAGTCAAAAAGTAGCAAATGAATAGCTTCTTCGATTGAATGAAGAATTCTGTGTTCTTCAAAGATCGCTTCATTATTCTTTGTGTCAATAACTGGCTGGCATCCTTCAGCAATCAATTTATAGTTGATTCCTGCCGGCTTTTACGGACTTCTCTGTCTGCGATTTCAATAGCGATGAATTCTTCGAATTTCTTCGATGCCTCTACATTGCAGTCAACATTGATGACGATTGATTCTCCGACAGGAACATTTCCATAGCCAGGTGAGATAATAAAAGGCCCATGAGCGAGTTTCATTACTTGCGTCTGCTCTCTAATCAGTTGACCAGGTCTTCTCGACTGAGCAAAGATCTGGCGCGAATCTTTGGTTCTCTTCGGCCGCTCTGACTTTGGTGGAGAGCCAGGTTTAACCAGCTTCGAAATAGCGAACTTGAAATCAAATTCTCGATGATTTTCAATTTCAAAGCTTCGTTTATGATTTCCATACGGAACTGGGCCGAAATCGACATCTTTGGAAGGCGTGATCACATATTGAGAAAACACTGATCGAGCTGAAACCTTGATCGGAATTGCAGCGATGGTTTCGCCGATTACTGCTTCTATCACGTGACATTTAATGATTGGTAGGTTAGCCAGGTGGAACTCTTCTGGTGGGTTGAAAACGATGTTTACTTGCATCGGCCTATCGTTGGGCAATAAACAGCCCTGCTGAAGCATGATTTTGAAAAAGCGCGACAGCTCGCTGTTGAAAAGATGATCTTCGAGAGTAAATTTGAACGAAATTTCATATCGCCCGCGATTTTTCAACGTTCAAACTTGCTTCATCTCATCATGAACCTTGTTTGTGCCGAATTCTAGCCCGCCATCGCAGCCCTTTGGAAAGCTCATGTCTATAGCTACATCGTAAGCTTCTGCAAAAACTGGTATCCTTTCGGATTGACAGTCGCCGATGATATTGTCAGTATCGCTCACGACAAGGCGTATGTTTCGCTTGTGGTTCTGAGCTTTGAGCGCTCTGAAATCAAGAATGAAATCAAAGGTTTCCTTCGGATTGATAGTTCCCGAATCGCAATTTCGCGAGAATTCGTCGCCCAGGTTATCCAGGCCTTCTATTCTCCAGTTTATTGGGAGATCAGTTGGATTGAACAAATGCAAAATCTAACTCGACAGACGATGGAGCATCACTTTTCCAAAGTTAATTGGTTTTCCTTCGCCATTCCATGATATTTGAACTTCTGGGCGAACTCTCGTTACTTGAACGGGGAAAATCGCAGGAACAGGGTTGTCAGACGATAAGAGCGTCATCATGAGTTCCAGAAGATTTCGGGAAAGCATTTATTGTCAAAATCTTCTTCTCAAACGGCGCCAGATTCATGTTGAACGGTTCAAGTGTAAAAACGGAGTCTCCTTTTTTCATGGCAAATGTAACTTCAGCTTCAATGGGACCAGAGTTCACAATTTTGAATTTAGCAGCGCCAGAATCTTTTTCCTTTGATTCCATCTTCCCAATGAGCGCAGGTTCAAATTTGACGATTGTTTTCTTTTTCTTTTCGACAAGAGTCCCGATAGGGCTGATAATTCCATCTGGACTTTCGACTGGCTTGGGTGGCATGAAGATTTTCTTGATATCTCTGATAATGTCTGGGAAAACGCAAACTCCGCGGACTGCTATTTTAAAAACCTGTCGTGTGCTGACTGTTTCGAATGAGAGTTCTCAATCGATGGTTCCAACTTTGTTACAGTCGAACTTGACCCTTAAGCGTCACTTCTTTGCCTGGCTGTTAGGACCCAACGATAATCCTGCAGCCGATAAAATTTGTCTTCTGGTTGCGTTTCTGCTTCCGGAAGTGGCGATCGAGTTGGCCGATCTGTTTCTGCTCTGCTCGCATTGCTGGAGCTTCTTCCTTTACCTCGATTTTTCTTCGAGCTGCTTGATGGTTTGTCACTTGCTTCTGTCATTACTTATTCTGTCAGTGATTCTTGAATACGATCATCTGAGTTGATATTTGGATCGTCTTGATTCAAAGCAATTAGATTAAAGAACTTTTGCTTGTCGTGATAAGGCGGGTGGCGTTTTTGCGGCTTTGGAACGACCGAGAATTCGATTGGCTCAGGAATCGGTGGTCCGTTCACTCCAAGACCGAGATCGTCGTCTACTTCTTCAACAGTTGGTAGCTGGTCGTAGATTTTTTCGAGCGAAAGGGGCTCGCACTCAGCTTCAATTTCGATCATTATCACGCCGACTTCTTCCTTTTTCAATTCGTTCTCAATCTCTGCCGCAATTCTCTCTTCCTAGGCTTTTATTTCTTCAGGTTTCATTCTTGATTTCGCTTTCTTCGGCGACTCATCTTCCTGAGTCTGTTTTACTTGTGAGATAACATCTTGTTCGACCATATTCCAGTATTTCAATATCCACTCTACTTTATCACTCGGCTCAAGTTGCGTTTCAGCAGCATTGAAAAAGCGGAACGCAATAAGTTTTTCAGCTGGTGATTGTTCAGGAAGACCAGTTTGTTCTGAGATTTTTCTGCCTTTTCTCCGTCTAAATCAGAGTTAAACATGAATTTTTACAGAACGGCAAAGTGGGCAAGACGGTTGCTACCTTATGAAAAAGGCTCATTAGAAAATTTCAATGAAATTTTTAAATCAGTGAATCATAAAAATCATGAATGTCATAATTTCTCATGCATCGGTTACCCAAGATGCCGGGATGAAGCAACACTCTCGGCTCGAGAGAGAACGCGATCCCGTGTTGGTGGTGGTGCAGTGTTGTTGAAAAGTATTAGTGAATGTTTCACACTGGCAATTTAATTTGATGACTATCACTGCACCTGTTTTTTCCCATTGAACTTGAGGCTCGGCTAAGTCCCGGCTGATCATCAGTTACTCGACCTGAATTTTTAGTTAGCATTTTGAAACCGTTCGCAATATCGTTAGAAGCGAATATGGGGTTAGTCAAAATATATAATGAGAAAAGTATATTGTTGTTTTTTTCTAGTGGGCTAAAAGTACCAAGCTCGGCAATAGCCACCGCTGTTTTAATTTGACTCCATTTACTTTTCTCCTTCTTCCCAGATGGGGCCTCATCTAAAAAAACAAAATGGCTATTTCTAAAAACAGCTGAACAAGAAAATTCATTAAATTTTCTTCCAGAAATATTTTTGATTCGAATTTTAAAAAATATTCTTTCATGGCAACTATTAAAAGTTCACCAGTAGATGGCGCGCGCGTATCACTGAATAGCGAGCGGGTGGATTGGCCCCGGGCGAGTGTGCCACGCGTTGCGCTCTCTGAGCTACGCTCCACTTCCGTCTCAGAGCGATGTCGTCGGTGGCTAGAGGATTCCTCCGCCACCGACGCAAGTTTAGGTTTTCCTTACTTTGTCGGCTATTTAAGCGAGCTCGCGGAGCTAAAGTTAGAATTCCAATTTTTCATCGAAATATCATTTCTATTTTTACCTGAAGATTTCGTCGAGTCGCTCTTATTGAGATGCGATTTTGAGCCCTTCCCTTTTTTCTTCGCGCTTTCTGCTTGTAGTTCAGGAAGTCGTTCGGCTTCTTCTCGCTTTTTTTCTGCAATTCTTTTTTCCTCAGCTATGCGTTCTTTCTTTTAAGCAAGTCTGAAAATAAACCACCTGAAAATATTCGTTTTATTTACCGAATATTGTCAATTCGCTGTTTTTCTTCTTCTGGCAAAGCATCGTACTCGTCCTCGGTCATATCTCTGATCATTTCCATCTCTATCCTGACCCGTTCTGCTTCTTCCTCTTCTGCTTTGCGCTTTGCTTTTTCAACCCTTTCCAGGTAATCTGCCATGGTGAGTGGCAAGTGAAACACCCGAAGATGTTTTCGATTGTTAAGTGCTTTCAGCAAAACGGGCGTCGGGGACTCGCAGTACCAAAGCTTTTTGGTACTGCCAGTACCAATTTTGGTACTGGGAGTACCAATTTCGGCTTTTCGAGTGATATTTTAACAAAATATTTCAGTTGGAACAATAGTAAGCGGGTAAATAGAACTATATCTTGGCCTAATCAGTGAGTTTCTTACCACAGAACCCGCAGAGCGGGCGTTCCTGGCTGACTAAAATTTTGCCTTGCCAAAATTGGTACTGGGAGTACCCGGTGGCCAGCAAAACTTCTATGCTATCCTTGAGCTTTGTCAGAAAACTCGACTCTATTCCATCGAATATAACTCCTTTATAGAACTCTTTTTCTTGAAGTTTTTCTGAGATGATTTCAGCGGCGAGATCGACTGGTAAAACTGTTGAGACCAGTGGGCGGTTGGCTTCTGCAGCGTCGGTAAGTTCGCTTTCGAGACGCTCGATGTTTTTCTGGGTCAGAAGGCTTTGGACTTCCGGGATATTCTTGACCTTCCCTCCTCTTTTTGATGGCTTGCTTGTATTCTGAGTGACGCCGGTTCTCATAGTCATCACAGATGCATCATCTCTCAATGCAGGAGCTTCCTTTGTCGTATTTTCTGATTCCAATGCATTCATTTTTTCCTGTTCCAATCTTCTTGACTCTTCTTCGCACTTTTCGCGAGCTGTTTTGCTCGCAGCTGATTTAGGTGATTGAACGGCACTCGCGAGTATCTCATCGATGGTTACAACAACAGTATCGTATTTTCAGACATTTGCTTTGCCAAAGTTGACTTGCCACTGAACGGAGCTCCCCACATAATTCCACCGAAACCAAGTCGATTTCGTGCAGCAAGACCTTCTGGCGAATTATCGGGAGTCACTTAATAGCGCCGCCCTGCGCCGCCCAGTCCTGCTTAAAATTTTTCTTCTCGAAGATTTTCGGCGTTTCAATGATGATTATTTTCTGTTTTCTTATCAGAACGTTTATTCTTGTATATTTGAATAGTCTGACCACTAGAAAAAAGAAAACTAATAATTTAGGGTGAAATTAGCGGGAGTCTAAATTATCTCCATATTTTGGCATAAAATCACCAATTTATTAAGCACGCGACGGGCCAGAGGCCCTTACGCGCGCATTTTCTGGTAGAGAACTCATTGGGTTGGCGGGGCCCAGCTCTCGCTCTTTTTCCGATCATTTAGTTTGGTCAGGATTTGGTCAGACGAGACCCGGTTTGTACCGAACCGGGCGGCGCAGGGCGGCGCAAGGCGGCGCTATTCAGTACCCCCCGAATTATCGATTCCAGAATGTTTTTCCAACGCGAGCTCGAGAGGGTCCTTAGGCTCAGTTTTGATCAATTCGTCGTCTTCTGAAACGGAAGGAGGAGTCTCTTCCTTGATGTATTCGATAAAGGGTAAGCTCTGACCGGGTCTTCGAGTCGGCATTCTTACTTTTTGGAATGCATTGAAATACTTCTCGGCCAAATTTCTTATCATCTCTTCTTCTTTCAAATATTTCTCATCAAAGTCCAACGAGTAAAATTCTACCTCGACTTTCGAGTTATTTTTGATACTGAATATCTCTGTTGCTCCCGCAGAATCAGGCATAATTGGACCGAGCTCAATCGGTGATTTGGAGAAAATGAGACTTGGACAAACCCCAGAGCCAGAGACGTTAAATTCCATTCGTTGGGTCGAGTTTTCAACAAAGATGAGAAGATTTTCTTCGAAAGTGCTTTCTTCTGTCGGCATGAATTCCACCTGAACTGTAGATCGTTCTCCCGGTGCTAGAACGCCTTCTTCTGGTATTACTTGAAATATTCGCGGGAGAGGCTTTTGAGCTTCTTTCAATGCCTTTTTCTGGTGCAATGGAAGTCGAGGATCAATGAAGAATCTCTTGTCTTTGTACTTTTGCTATTTCCAGGATGACTCAACCTGTAGCTCATAGTAGAGTTGCACAGTCACGACTTCTACGCGACCACATTCTACCTCGCCAAAATCAACGTTGATTCTCGGCTCTGGAGTGTTTTGTTTATCGAGAGTAGCAAAAAGTCTCAGCATAGTAACCAAAGCTTTGATATGAAGATTCACAACAGGTCCTCGCTCGATTTGAATAGGAACACATACTGGACCGACTTGACCGACTGGTAAGTCAACAGATCAAAGGTGATTTCTACTGAGACAGTATGACCCGGCGCCATTTTCCCAATTCTAGAGACTTCACAAAAGAAGCCAAAATTATCCAACTCTCGTACATCTGGTGCAAAAGCAACAGGGATGTCTCCGAAATTATCGATTCTAATCAGTGCTTTTCGAACATCACCGAGAATCACCGGTCCAAGATCAAGCTCATAGTCTGCCAAATAGAAAGGCGGTCGTTTTTGGTAGATCATCAGTTCATGGACAGGCATATCTTGGGCTTTTGCCGAAATGATGAGTCTTTCTGCTTCTAGTTCGATTTCACGCTCGGAAATATCCGGCCGCTCCTTCTCCATATCTCCACGAATATTATCGATGATAGCAGAAAGATCTTCGTCTCCTCCTTTTCTAGGCAAATCAAGGGATATTCTTGGGAAGACTGCATTTCCAGAAATTTTCATCTCAGCCGGAAGAAAATTCGCAACAATAAGAGAAAATGCTTTCTCAAAGTTGTGCGGGAAACCAGGAAGATAAATTATCGTAATCTTAAGGACCCTTAAGGATCCAAGATGATGACCATGAAATGGAGATATGAAAAACTCGTGATTGATTGCTGACAAATCTTTTATTCCTCCCAAAAGACAGAAATCAAAAGGAACAAAAGAAGTATTCTTGAGCGTGAATTGTCTCTCCGCCAAACTGTCGAACATCACTTCTCTAAATTTTATCGTCTCGCTTGACACACTGTATCTCACATCAGCAGAAGCTCCAGCAATGTTCAACTCGTACTGTGGCCCGCCGTCCACTTCACAAACAGCTCTGCAGAGAGCGTTGATGTCTTGATGACCATTGAATAGAATTGTTGTTTGAATTTGCTCCCCAGGCTCCAGTTTGCCGAAAATTGGACGAATGTCGAAAACATCGTCGATACCGGGTAAATCTCTGGCTAAATCAGCAAGCTCAGGTTCTGTTCCATCAGTATTCGTGGCTTCACGAGAGGGCGCACTTGTACCAAGCCCAGATGCAGATCGAACAAGAGCGTCCTGCTGTTCTTTTCGCTTTGAGAAAACTCCTAACTCATCCTCAATCTCGAACCACCAGCGATACTCTGTCGTCATTGGCGATTTATTCGACATTGTAACAACTGCTGCCTTTTCAGCTCCGTTTCTGATCGGGCCAAAATTGATGTCCGCGTGATTGAACTCGATGTTCGGAAAGTTTAGTTCGCCAACAAGCTCGACGACATCCTGACTTGGATGATCTTTGTAATCGATGAGAAGCTGAGAAATCGTTTTTGAAGATCTGTAATGCTTCTGGAAGCCAGTATGGAAAACGACGTTGACTTCTACTGTTTGGCCAGGGAATAAAACGTGACTGATACATTTCTCACCGACTTTTCCAACATAAAATGGCGAAACAGTTTTGAGATCAAATCGTAAATCGACATCTCCACTATTTGTAATTTCTGTTGATCCTTCAACATCCTGAAGCTCGTCTTTAGTATCCTTATCGAATCTGAATTCTAGTTTCTTGTGGGAAATAAGAAGGACTGGTTCGATGAATTGACAGTGAATTGGAATGCTGAAGATTCTCTCTCGACCTTTTTTCCGACCGATAACAGCGTGGCATTGGAGTGTCTCTCGGACTGTTCCAGGTTCCGGCGATAAACCTAAAAGCTTGACTTTGATACTTTGTCCGGGTTCCAACTCAAAGTCCATTTTTGACAGCTCGAAAATGCTCTGTGGTGGTGGAGGCAAGTCAGGTGCGCTTTTGAATTTTACATCTTTTGATCTTTTCCGCTCTTCATAAGCCCTTCTCTCGTTGATGTCTCTTTGCGAAAGTCGCTCGTAACCGGCTACAAACCAAATGAGCGCATGATGTCTTCTTCCGTAATTTGTGAAGGTAATTTCTTTCCTGAATTCTCTCGTTGCAAATTGACGTCCGAGATCTAACCCTGCTTTTGGTCCGCCTAGAGTCGGTTGGGCAACAATTGTTTTGCGCGAACAGGAATAATGGGAAGGGTTCCTCTCGTGGTCATTTCGAGAAATGTTCCTCTCGTGGTCATGTTCCTCTCGTGGTCATATTCCTCTCGTGGTCATGACGTAGAGACTTGCGATCACGGAGCATTTTGATGATTAGTTGGGTCTCCAAGCATTTTTTCAAGGATACTATGAGAAGGTCCATTTGATTGAGTTAAATTTTCAATAATTTTCAAATAAGAATAAGTATATTTATTTGCACAAACCAGAAGAAATTCTCTTTAGAATAAGAGGCAAACGTATGAGGCAAACTATATTTAATGTAATTATCTTTCTCAGGTTTTTCGATTAAAAAAATTGTTTTCATCAATTCATCTCGATTTTTATTCATTTAAAAAATTAATTGATGACCTCTTATTATAAATATATAAAGCGTGTAAGCACTATCTTTGAGGAAATTCGGGGGAAATTGGGAGACCCTAACTTTCATAAGCCGGTGAGTAATGACCACGAGAGGAACATTTCTCGAAATGACCACGAGAGGAACCCTTCCGGAATAATGATCTGATTTGTGTGGTCGACATCAATAACCATTTCATCCCTGAAATCAAGAGTATTATCGAGAACCGCGTTTATCAAAATATCAGCGTGCGATGCTGGATCCACAATTTCTGGGTATTCGAGCTTCCAAATATTCTGATCTTTTCTCATTGAGACAGATATTTTCGCGGGAATCGGCGACTCATTCTGCAGCATGATTTTATGAGGAGTTTTTTGTGGCACGAGGACTTTCACATTCCCTAGATCTACTTTTGTCTCGATAGGAATTAATACAGGTCCTGCAACAGTGCCAGCTATTGTCGTCATCAGCGGTTCATCTATTCCAGCCATTTTCAAGCCGACGGTGTTGTTGAACGCGCCAAGTTTGGAAGGCGTTACTGTTATTGGAACGGCAAAATTAGAATCTGGATCCACACAGCCTTCCGGGTAAAATGACTCAACTTTGAGGGAAGCATCAACAGGAGGTAGAAGTCGATAGCGCGCGGAAAGATGAGCATGGTCATTTTGAAGAGTCAAAGACGCGTGGTACTCATGACCGAGAAATAAGCAGCCAATATCGACAATGCTTTCTGTAAACTGAACAGGTGGTGATTGAACCTGAGCCTTTATCGGAAGAACTGCAACACGCTCAGCTATATTTGGAATGCCGACATAAACAGATCCTTCAAAAGCTTTCTGTTCATCTCCGTTATAAACCAGTTCGAGCTCCACTGACTCCTCTGCTTCAAGAAATCCTTCATTGATGTCGAATGAAATTTCTCGCGCTGTCGACTTGATCACAAAATTGACAGGAACGAGGGAAACATTTTTGAGGGAAATTGTCGTTGATTTTTCAAAACTCGTAGAGATAAGGCCGAGATTAAGTTTTTCAAGTTCGAACGACATGGTTGGAGCAATAACTTCACCAGAAACCTTGAGGCTCAGCTCTGTATTTGTCCCATCGATTTCAAACTTGAGTTCTTCCTCGAATGATCCAAGAAGTTGTGCATCAATATACAGGTTGATTAGTTGGTAACCATCTTTCATCACAATCCCTTCTGTTGGATCGAAAGAAAGTTGGTTCCGAATTTCTGATTTCGTCTCTCGAATGGAAAAGATTCCCTCAATTTCCCCGCGATTTTTCATCAGAATTTCATAAGTGTGCTTTGATCCAACAAAAATTTTTCCAAGATTTACAGAATCGTAGCTCAGCCGAAGCTGTGGCCCGATTCCACGAGCTTTGATGGTCAATGGAATTCGATTTTCGCGGCCTTGAATGTCACAGAAAACAGTTTTCTTATACTGTCCGATTCGATCTGGCTTGAAGACCACGTGAACCTCCATTTCTTTGCCCGGAAGGATGATTCCCTCAACTGGAGTTATTTCCAATTCTGCTTCTTCTAGCAGCATCGGATCTGTAGAAATCAAATCTCGCTGGTTTTGGAAGGATTTTGTGAGGATAGAAATCTTATCGGCAAGCTCCGGACTCGCGCTTTGTTCTTCAAGAAATCTTTTTCGTTCCTTGTCTTCTTCCGCTTGAATTGATTCTAGCGTCGCAGTTTTTGCTATATCTTCGTTTTCCTTCAATGCGTAACTTGAAAAGAAGTACTTCACTGTTTCGCTAGAGTTGTTCATTATCTGAGATAATTTATCTCGAAGATTTGAAAATTCGTCATTTCGATGTAGGTAGGCATTATTGAAATACAGTATTTCAAATACTCTTGTGAGACAATTGCGCATCGATGCTGATTCCATTTCCTTGAAGATCTGAGAAGATTTCTTCCCCTGTATCGTAGGAAATTCTCATTTCCGCCTCGTACTTCATCGCAAACAGAGGGCTGAATTCTACTGTCATCTGCATCAACTGCCCACGTTCAAGTTCCCCGCTTGATGGAGTCGCTGAAAAAGCTGCGGAACTGAAGCCAACTGTAAATCTCGCGGTATCCGTTCCGATATTTCTCAACAACAGTGTCTTCTCTCGAGTCATTTTGACTGGAGAGTCGCCGACGTCGATCACATCAGGAAAATCAACGACTCCTCTCGCTCCGATGCATTTGATAGGAATGATGAACTTCTCCCGCTCTGATGTCACGATGATTTCATGAAAGTAATCCTTCACTGCGTCTGGGATAAACCGGAGTCTGTAAGTTGAAATGGCTTGAAATTCTGGAACACGAAATCAGAAGGATAAGGCTGGAAAATCGTCTGGTCAAGGTCTACTCGACAGGTTTTCTGGGGGAGATTTATCGCCAAGTTCGAGTAGTTCGACGATTTGGGGGACTTTCATGTGGCGACTGGTGTTAAAGCGGTCGTATGTGTCCAAACTCATCGATGAAATGTACTTTTTTGATTTAACAAAATCCAGGAAAAACAAACTACAGATAAAAAATCTTTGCGAGAATAATCTTTGTTGATCTTTCCTGAGACGGCTTGATCTTTTCAAAATACTCATTTTCTGGTTCTTTGATCAACACCGGATTCCTCGGCGCCACCACATAACTACCCATTGATTGTCGAAGATCATCTGGCAAGTTTGAGTGGTTCTCCGAGATAACCACGGATCTCTTCATTTTTAGATTTGTTTCTCTTGGATTTCTAATCCGTCATTTTCACAATTAAATCTCGGTGTTAGTTTTTTTGAGATAATGACGAAGATTTCTGGTTACTACGGAGAGGGAAAAGAGCGTCAAGAAAATAAATGAAGAGTTCTTGGAAGAATTTTATTCATTAGATTTTTTCTTGAAGTTTTTGATAGTCTTTTGAATCCAGGACAAACACTGGCCAATGTTGGTATAAACACCCGCTTGTCCTTCTCTTCCACAGCCGATACCTCTCGATACAACGCCGACTAGAGTTGCATATCCATCAACATCCACCAGAATCGCCTTAGGAGAACTTTTAACGCTTGAACGCATATTGCGCATATTTCTGCGCAGAGCACCTTTAAAGGTCGATATCTCATGCTTAACTTTATCAAAATTTAAAATGAACCCCCACTTTTCGGGGTCTTTTTCGATGAAGAGCCCGAATCCATCATCAAAAAAATATTTTGGCCTCTGGTTAAAAATTTGGCTTCAGAGCGAAAATTTCCGTCCCGCCCAAATTCTCCAAATTTTCCTTATAATTTGATTCTTTTTTGACGAAATCAGAAAATTTTTCATGGTTAAATTTTATTTTAGTAAAGTTTAACCTCTAAGAAGAATCAAAATGACTATTTATTGTCGAAATGATAGATTCTTTGGTATGATAGTCGATAAAAGTTGAGAAAATGGCATATCTTCGGTAATACTTGAAATCACTTGTTTTGGCTAGGTTTTGGTTAAGGTTAGGACTCAAAACTATATTTTTCTGGTTGCCAAGCGTCTCAGCTTTAATCAGCAATCTGAAATATTCTCCAATCTTTTAATAAGTCGGCGCTAGAACCCGTCAAAGGCCCTGCGCAGAAATCTGCGCAATATGCGTTCAGCGAAACTTTACAAACGTGCGTTCAAGCGTTAATAGGACTCTTGACCATAAAAGCTACCTTGGCAGCTATCAATTTTTCCGTCGAGAAGTCCATCATTATCAAGATCTGGCATCTCCGCATAAATATTGAAATCTAAGATAATTCTATTCTTCTGAATTCGCAGGAAGAAAAACCATGTTTATAAACGTCACTGTTCATGAACGCTGTCATCGGCTTTGTCTTCAATTGAACATAATTTCTGCTAATGATATTTACTCCAACTTCAAAAATAATTCTTCATTTCTTGAGATACAATGTAGTCACCTGATTGAAATTCCTGAAAAGAACCATCGCCCCTTTCATACTGCGAGCCTCTTCCGGGCCTCCCGGGGAGCGCGTAAAGCACTAGCACGACGTCATTTTCAGTCAATCATCGGTTGGTTTCGGAGGGTTCTACTTGCTGTTGCGTCTTTAAACTTTCACAGATGTTGAAAAACACGCCGCTCACCCTCTAATGCACTAGCGCGCCGCGACCTTCGCTCAGTAATCTGATGTTTTCGGGAGGTTCTGGTTTTTGTTGCGCCTTGAAAATTTCACAGAATCTTGTAAAGGGTCAGTTTCTTTACATATCTTGAAATCAGAATTTTTAAAGATGGGTGCGGCACCTAGAAAGTGAACTTTTACGATTTTGACGCTTTTTGACGATCAAATTACTTTTAAAGGTCAAATCATGAAAGAGCGTCATCTTTTTAGTATTCAAAAGATTTTTTCATAAAAATTATGTCGAAGAAAACGAAATTGACTTCCGTCATTTTGGGCCAGAAGCGCCACGCCGCGCGCCGCTTTCCCGTGAGAATCCCTACTCATGCTTGTAAAATTAACTCATAAAAACCATAATCCATATCATATTGAAGGGATCCTAGCTTCTGCTGAATCTCCCACTTCTAGCGTAGTTTGCCTGCTCTCTATATCTGGACGAGTGAAGAAAACGAGTAAAGTATCTTGACGTCTGTATTTCGAGCTGGAGTAAAATAGAGGTTAATTCACGAACTGCGTGAATTACCGAATGAAGAGAAATACACGGCGGCGACCGAGCAAAGCTCGATCTAGATAAGCAAGTGACCTTAGGGGACGAGGGAGTCTAACGAATCTAAGATCCCAATACCCCCCCATGAGACTGAAACGTCCTCTAAGGCCAAAGTGTGTGATTTTTGCAGGAGTATAAGCGTAAGATGAGTAACATGGCAGGTTCGAAACGTCGAGGCAGTCTGATTCGCGTTAAAAAACCCTTTTTTGGGAAAAAGCTTGAATCAGATGCGAAGTTTTCGTGATGTCCGAGCGGTGATGACATGAAGGAGTAGCTGCACATGTAGAAGAACTCAAAATACGTCGGCGACGGTAAACTGTGATAATTTCCGTACCTTTTCAGGCCCCGGTCGATGAATAGGGGACCTGAGTGGGGCAGTACTTGCGCTTAGTCGTATGACTGACCCGAGTTTGTGCCGATGTTTAGAGGTTCGACGGGCCTCGTTTCACGGTGTGCTCGTTTTGTATGTTTCGGGAGATGAGCTGCTCCAACTTCGGTTAAAGTCGCATTCGGATCGGCGCCGGCTGAGTATTGACGATCTGGTGAAGACTTTGGACGGGTTCTTTTCTTGCTGTTTTCAGTTGCTGAGCCCTCAACTACTGTTGAATTATGTTTATCGACTGACATATGGCTATTGTCGGGCGCAGCAACCTCCGAAATCACTGTAGCATCAGCTGACATGTCCTCGGCAGTTTCATAAAGAGTACCACCAGAGTACCAGCGATCTGACGGCTCGGCTGGAGCTACCGACGAGTCCAAAATAGATGTAGCGGTTGTATCTCCCAGATTTTCCATGTCCAATCGGCGTCTACTTTCCAAAATAGGTGATAGAGATGATCTTGGCGGTTTTTCCATAGCAACCATCGGAGTCGACGCGACCTGAGAAGATTTCCTCCCCCCATGCGACTTCGACCCGGACTTTTCCATCGGTTTGGAAGTAGGAACAGGCGATTTTTGTGGGACTTTCGACTTAACGATTTCGGTTAAATGTGGGAATACGTACTCGGCCTCGTAGTAATCAATCCAGCGTAAGTCGTGATTTCGTTCTGCGGCGTGAACCACGTGTTCTCGATGGATGAAATCACGTTGTCCTTTTTTATCTTCGACCATGACGACCCAGTCGTTGCTCGAAACGGCTTTCAGGGGACCTACCCAGCGTTCCTTCTTGCTTTTAGCGTCGGTCAGGTTTTCTCGCTTAATGTACACGACAGCGCCAGCGGGGATTGGTCTCGGCTTAGGCTCGTTTTTCAGCCTGTGCTCCATGGCTCGGTCAGCAGCTTCCATCGCAGTTTTCACAATGGCTTCCGCCGATTTCGCTAAAGCTCCCACATTGAGACCAAACACCTGAGGTGTTTCCGCTGTCATTTCTGCGCCAGTAGAGTGGGTGAAAGTACTTTTTCGGCCAAACCAAACTTCTCGCGGTGAAATTTTCGTGCTTTTGTTTTTCACACTATTGAGCGCGCGCATCACGTGGGGAACGCAGTCGGCCCAAGTTTTTCGACCGGAAGATGAGTTGACCATGCAGAATAGACTGTTTTTGATAGTCCGATTCGCTCTTTCTGCGAAAGCGTTTGATTGAGGGTGAAATGCGGTACTTATTGTATGTTTTATCTGGTTAAGCTTACACATTTCGTCAATCACGCTTGCGCAGAAGTGGGTACCTCTGTCACTGTGTAGATGTTTCGGCAAGAAATCCATGGGAAGGAAGACCTTGTAGATGAGCGCTTTTGCAGCGCAGATAGCAGTGTCGGACCGCGTCGGAATGCACCAAGTGTAGCGAGAGAAAGTGTCCGCCACCACCAAATAATACTTGAATCCGCCAGCGGGAGGCATACAAGCGAAATCGATCTGAATCGATTCGCCAGCTGTTTTTCCACGACGAAGGGTTCCAAGTGGCGGTTTGGTACGAGTTCCAGCAGATCCTTTTCTGCGTAGGCAAGGGACGCAGCTGTGGACGTAGTTAGAAACATCGTCTTGAAATGAAGGCCACCAAACGTCCTCTAATCGCTCTAAAGTCCGCGGCTCGCCCAGATGACCGGACAAGTCGTGAGCTAGAAAGAGAAAGTGACTTTTTACCGCTTCCGGTACCACCGCCCGCGCGCC